TTTTCCGAAAGGTTGGTACAGTCATCAGGATTCAAGGCCAGAAAAGGGCAGCTTTCAGAGAAGTTTGAGGGACTTTGCTGGCACTGTAACAAACCTGGGCACAAGAGAGCTTAATGCTGGCAACTTCAACACAGGGGAGATGCCACAGCAGGAAAGGCTGCTACCCAAAAAGGTTGTTGGAACTGTGTAAAGCAAGGACATATGAGGAGCCAGTGTAAGAAGAATGCCGCCAATAAGTCAGCGTGCTGGACTTAATGTAGGATTGAAATTCAAGAGCTCTGGCCATTGCAACCTGCATAGTAGAGGGGTGTGCTTGCTTTACTTGTATCTTAAGTTGTGGACTGTCCAAGGCATCTACAAACTGATCCCTCAGCAACAACTTGAGGAGATCGGGTGGTGCAGTTGGGTAGGCCTCGTGTACTATATACTTTCCAAGTCCTGTGCCAAGTCTTCCAGGGTCTCCCCTTTAGCATGGACTCTCGTCCTAAACCTAACTCTGTAGACTTCAGACTGATTTTGAGTTCCGTACCTGCATCCTAGAGCCGCTACCAGTGCTCTATAGTTGTACCTGTCATCTGCTGACAATTGACCAAGTATTTCCAGTGGTTGTTCCTTCAAGCCCGTTGCCAGGTATACTGCTTTCTGCTCCTTTGTCCATCCATTCATCTCTGCCAGGAGCTCAAATTGTGCTCTATATGCTTCCCACAGTGCCTTCCCATCGATTTCCTGTGGCTTCCTTCTTACTAGATCACCCCTATTGCTGACATTCATATTTGGGATGTGACTTCTAACAGGACTGAAGATGTCTGCATTAGGGTTTAGCTGCAGGGTCTGGAAGGGGCTTCCCGTTGTCCGAGGCTGATTAGGTCGATGGCTAATATATCTTCTTATGTAAAAGACAGTAAATCATTCTTTAATGTATTTAATTCGCTTTGAAATTTACTAATGTTGTCCATTTGTACTTCTTGTTACCTTTCTTGTTCCAGTTGCCATTGCTGTAATCTCTCTTCTTGTTTCTTTTCTCGTAATTCTTGTTTCATTTCTTTTCCTCCAACAACTGCTGTAATCTCTCTTCTTGTTTATTTTCTTGATCTTCTTGTTTCTTTTGCTGTTCTTGTATTGCTGTCATCAAATCTGCTAAGCTGTAGTTTGATTTGCTGCTTCTCATTTTCATTTTTTTTTTCGTCCCACTCTCTGACACTAGTTTGTTACACCTCTGGTCGTTCATTTGTTAACTTTCTGTAAAAATTATTTCCGAAGAAACTTTAGCGATACAAGTCCTTTCTTAAATAAAACTAGTTTATTCTTTTTCAATACAACTTTGCAATACATTTAATTTCCAGTCACGCTATAACTTAAACAAACACTATAATTCACAAGGAACGATTCACAAACTTGACTCAATTGTCCGTCTCTATCTCTGTCTGCAATTCAATTTCAGGAATATACAGGAATAGAGGGCGCCTAGCACATACTGGATTATTCGTGATGTTCCCCGAAAATATCATGCCGTGTTACCAGAGTCACGTGACTACCGCTGTCTAACAATACTAACATTTCAATTATAATCTACAATTTTATAACAAACTTGTTGGCATAAATTCATGAAATAGTAGTTCAATAAATTTTGAATATGTCAACAACTGCGATGACATGGCCTTTGACCGTAACGGTAGGGTTAACATACAATTTTTTGAAGGCTGTGTTACAGTACTAGTGCTTAGTGAATAAATTGTTTTGTATTCTTCATTATAGATATCTTTTTTCAAAACTTAGGTTTTGCATATTTATTTCCAGGCAAGCACTTCCTCTCCAGTAGCCTCGGACTTCAAACCTGTAAAGTTCCCTTCTACAACAGTGAAGCCAACATTCCCAGCATATAGCAGTAGTGTTGCTGTAGCCAGTTCTTCAGAAGGTTAGACTGAAAAATTTATTACTGTTTATATAGTTACCATTAGGTCACTGTTTATTGAAGAATGTTGTTAAAAGTTTACTCCTGTACTGTGTTGATCTATGGCATATTGTGTTCAGTAAATCAGAATCTTCTCTGTGTGTTAATCATCCAGTGTAATTTGACAATGGTATATATTTGTTTACTTTGGGTTAGCTACTACTTCTTCAACAACATCTGTTTCTATTAAACCAAGTGTGGAGAGTACACCTTCTGAAACCAGCAACTCGTCTACGATTACAACAACTAGTGCAACTAGCAAAATCATACACCCTGAAGAAGACATATCACTTGTAAGTTAAACTGATGTTATGTATGAACTAAATTATAATATTATCATACTTTTAATGTTATGTTATAAGACATATCACATGTAATAATGGCTGGAGATGGCTTGAATGGGTAATGAAGAAAAACTTTAATATAAGTTTAACATAACAGAAAATGTACAAAGTTTCGACAAGGTTTTGTCATCATCAGGTCAACTGCCTCACTTGCCTCCTTCCATTTTTGGAAATGCTCCCTCATATACACTTAATTCTGTATATGATATGAATAACCAATTGGAAGCTCAGAATGTCCCCCTAGTGGTTTTCCAAGCCTTTCTAACATATCTAGTGTCATTTCTTTCTTTTAAATCAAGATATCAATGAGGTAGGTTGTGTACTTTAGTCTGCTCGAAATTACATATTTTTTTTAGACTCAAATACAGCTTAGTTACTACATTTGATAAATTATAGTAGAATTCTATGGTATTGATGCAGTAATTTATGATTTTTTTAGTTATTCAAGTGTATATATATAAAACTTTAAAAAAATATTTTGTTATATGTCCTCCACGAGTAAAATTTTTAAAGGCTTAGCAACCTACGTCAAGTAGCAACTGAGTACAAAGGTCATAACTATAAGAGATAATTGTTTGCTTTACTACTTTATTTACTGTTCTATGTTTTAAGAACTGATTTCAAAATAGTAATAATCTATATACTAATATAATGTATAATAATTTAAATGCGAGTGTATTTTACAAAATACTAGTTGACCAAAACACAGCCAAGACAAGTTACTTTGAACAGACCAAAG